GCCGCAATTTTACCTTTAACTGGCAAATGTATGAATAGCTCTTACGTGGCTTTCGCTTTCGTACTTTTATATGCTTCATTATAAACTTAACGGGGTAACCATTTTCACGAAGGGCGTCGCTGATTCTCTGTAGCTCTTCGTTGACGGTATCCGGAGTGCAAATACTGCGCGCCCTGAAGGCAAGAGATCGGATTAAACTGCTCTTGTGCTGTAAAGGCACTGCGCTGTGAAAGTTAGTGTACTGTCCAGTCCACGTATGCTTTCTGTGTACCTTTCTGCTACATGAGCCGTCCGAGTTACGAATGACTTCTATATTCAAGAAAGGTAAACGGTTTTCATTTTCGTGCTCATAGGTGAAGCGTAGATCCTCATGTGCATCATTAAAAGCCTTCAGCAACTGTTCGCAAAGCACGGTGTGCACAGATCTTCACACACAAACACACACACATACACACAAACGTTTCATACGGTCGATAGTACTACCGTGGCCGACTGACATGGTTACTTAATTCTCTTCGTGACTTTAGCTTGCTGAAGCTTGTGTATTAAGTTTCCTTTGGTGCACTTTCTTCCCATCTGTAGCCACATTTAGTCATCGATCTTGACCGTTTAAACACCTTAGAAATCAATCCCAGCCCGTTTTGATGCTTATCCCACACTCAGTGTTATGTAAACGTTTGGGTCTGAAGATAGTTTACCGAAAAGAATTCTTAACACTGAACTGATCTCTGGTCTTGATTCATCTGATTACAATGGGAATATTTGCTGTGCTGGAAATCAGCATTGCCCGTGATTCGTTGAAGATTTTGAATGCGTAGCTGAAGTTTAGTACTCAGCTTGAGGAATCCAGGGTTGAATTGGAATTTCTTAATGAATGCGTACAGGCAAGCCGCTATCCAAAATTATTTTGTAGAAAGATACGACGCTGTGGCCTCTGCCTAAACGCAAGACTTTGAAAAGCCATACACTCAGTTATATGGGCACCATCTGCGTTAAACTGTCGGAGCTGGAGAGATTCATTTCGCAAAGGTTTCCATGGGTTGTCTGAGGATCTGAGACGGCCTTTTGAGGAAAATGTAGAATTGGTTTAGCTGAAATGGGAGCAAGAAAGCGAAGGAACTTACTTGATACGCTTAACAACCAGGTCCCACAATTGACCTTTCCGAATAACCCGGACCGGTATGTGCTCAACTTTTCCAGTGTAATACTAAGCCCGACATAGCTGAAAGTGTTATCATTAGGCCCCAAGTTTTGTATTCCATGTAAGAAAATAGATCAGGCAACCTTAGAAGTGCAATTTGAAAGCCTAATGTTACAAACTAGAGACCTGTTTCCAGCATCTAGTGATCTTGAGAACCTAAAATCTAGTCTAGTGAATAGTTGTCATGAATATGTTAAGGCTAAACCATCTAGTAATGGTATTATTTCATGGGAGCAAATTTAGGCAATTAAAGAGTTACGGTTAAACAACGAATTAATTACCTCTAGGCCAGACAAAGGATCCGGCATAGTGTTATTAGATAGGGTGTATTATATCTGTAAAATGCAGCACATCCTCAGTGACCAGCGTAAGTTCCAGAAGCTTATGGCCGGAAAGGACAACACAGGGGAGTTAGAGAAACAGTTGACCGGCTGCATCAGGTGAATAATGCAAGCCAAACTTATCACAAAGAGTGAATTCGAAAAGTTGAAGCCTTCAGGTGGACACCTACCGGGATTATATGGCCTTCCGAAAGTTCACAAGGAAGGCACCCCAATGCGTGTAATCTTGGACATTGTGGGTTCTCCCCAGCATTTGTTGGCCTAATGGATGGTGAACAACTTACAACCGTTACGGGATGTGGTTTGCACTTGCTGCTTGAGATACTCCTTCAAATTAATTGAGAAGACATCTGGAATCAACTTTACTAACAAAAGGATGATATCTTTTGATGCCCAGTCACTGTTTACAAACATCCCACTGTTCGAAACGGTGCAATACGTGTGCGAGTTGACCCGGCAACTACCAAAATACGCTACGTTTCCGGAGGATTTGCTAAAGGAGATACTATTTCGTAGCACGTTAAATGTTCATTTCACGTTCAATGGTGAGATGTACCTTCATATTGGTGGATTGGCCATGGGATCTCCTTTGGGGCTGTTGTTGGCTGACATCTTTATGGCGAAATTAGAACATGGCCCAGTCAGGACGCACATCTGTGGAACTGAAATGTACGTATGGTATGTCCATGACACCTTGCTTTGCGAATCCGAAAAGCATGCAGAACAGTTGCTGAAGGCTTTTAATGATGCACATGAGGATCTACGCTTCACCTATGAGCACGAAAATGAAAACCGTTTACCTTTCTTGAATATAGAAGTCATTCGTAACTCGGACGGCTCATGTAGCAGAAAGGTACACAGAAAGCATACGTGGACTGGACAGTACACTAACTTTCACAGCGCAGTGCCTTTACAGCACAAGAGCAGTTTAATCCGATCTCTTGCCTTCAGGGCGCGCAGTATTTGCACTCCGGATACCGTCAACGAAGAGCTACAGAGAATCAGCGACGCCCTTCGTGAAAATGGTTACCCCGTTAAGTTTATAATGAAGCATATAAAAGTACGAAAGCGAAAGCCACGTAAGAGCTATTCATACATTTGCCAGTTAAAGGTAAAATTGCGGCTGATATCTTATCTCGACGTCTGAAAGATGCTGTTGAGAAAACTTATTTCGCGGCCCGCTTAAGAATTGTTTATCACAACAAGCCATTGCTTGCAAAACTCTTGAAAGATAGTCTACTGTCATTGACCCGTTTGCTGCTCGTTTCTCAGTGCTCGTGCTCCTGTGGTGCACGATACGTGGGTCGCACAACGAGGCACCTATCTCAGAGGATTTGCGAGCACATTCCGGTGTGGTTTTACAAAAGCGAAATGAGGTCCTCAGACAGCTCAATTATGTCGCATCTCCTCGAAAGTGGCCATACTGCATCTGAGAATGACTTTAAAGTCATCTACTCACTACCTGAACGCTTCTCGCAAGGCCTTCTGAAGCAAATCTGGTATACTGCCGAGGCTATTTACATCCACCATCTGAAGCCGGAATTGTGTACACAAACGTTTCGTACGGCCGATAGTACTACCGTGGCTGACTGACATGGTTACTTAATCCCCTTCGTGACTTTAGGTTGCTGAAGCTTGTGTATTAAGTTTCCTTTGGTGCACTTTCTTCCCATCTGTAGCCGCATTCAGTCATCGATCTTGATCGTTTAAACACCTTAGAAATCAATCCCAGCCCGATTTGACGCTTACCCCACACAATCGGTGGCTTGCCGAACAACCTCCTCGTGGTGCCATCTGGGTGGTTCGGGTGTTCGCCGTTCCAGCAAATGGTTCGTCGACAATGTTCCACCTCGGAGCCTTTGGCTCAATAGCCTTACCCACAAAGCAGTGGGGAGCAGATCCAGCTCGGGAATATGATTTCAGAGACAGATTGTGATCTGCTCGATGACCGTCACGCGCAGCCTTTGAGGCACTAGAGCGATTTATGTGTTTTGCGACCGTAGTTGGATACGCGTCTGCTAGCACGGCCAGACGCAGGTGGGTTTTGTCGGGTTTGCACCAATTTGACTTGATGACCCCTTGACGCTTGCTGACGAGGAACTCGAGGTGGTTGATCATTTCACTTATCTTGGCAGCTGCATCAGCAATGATGGGCGCATGGAAACGGACGTCAGCTCACACATTGCAAAAGCCAGAGCTACCTTCTTGAACCTGCGGCATCTTTGGCGACAGAAGGGAGTTTCCCTTCGTCTGAAAGGCCGGGTATACAAGGCCACAGTGAGGGCCGTTCTGCTGTATGGTAGTGAGACTTGGCCCATTCGGTCTGAAGATCTGAGGCGCCTTCAAGTCTTTGATCATCGTTGTCTGCGAGGCATTGCTGGTGTCGGATGGCACCAGGGTGTCCGCAACGATGATGTGCGTAGGCGAGTACTAGGTGGTGATAATCATGCTATCTCCCTAGAACGACAGATAGCACTGCATAAATTGCGTTGGCTCGGGGGGGGGGGATGTTTGGACCCTGATTTAACTGACCGTATTAGTTATCCATGTGTCAGCGGAAGCACAACCATTTCTCTGTGTTTCCTGCTTGCTATTTCATTGGATTGCTGTTTTCACCATAAATTTCTGGAACTGAAAGTAGTTGACTATGGTTTCGCTTCTTGCTGTGCGATACCGTTTAGTGTGTCTAGCGCAGCTCCCAGCGTCTTTCTCCTCCGCTACTCTTGTGACAGATGACATGTGATTCGTCTTTTGCGTCATTTACCTTATTATTTCTTGAATCGTGAGCCAAAATTAACCAATAACTACCTGTCTTGATGAACCGCTTCTTATGCTCTCTCATGTTTTTCAATTGAGGCTCCCACATGCGTCCATTCACTGCACTTCCTTCGACCTGGCTGCATTCAGCTCAACTGCCGGCACGCGTACTAGGGGACTGGTCAGGAAACAACCATACACTCTGTGGGGGACCAAAAGCAGATACTACTGCGCTGTATACCCCAAGGAATCCAGCTAAGGACAGGCTAATTTTGGTTTATCTGGAAGAAGAATACTCGGGAGCCGCAGATATATGTGCCCTCAAATTGGATGCAGATGCGGCATGCGCCACGCAGCATGCAAGAGTCTGCAGATTTGTGCTTGATAAATGACTGTTCGCACCTTGGGTTCCCAAAACCCGTCTAGTATGTCCAAATTTATGTGTGCGAACTAAAGAAATTCCTGCTCTTCCACTTTGTGTGATAACGCCATTATGTTCTCAACAAACGCCATATTCTTCATAGCAGCACTGTTTACTCTTTGGGTTATTTTAATGCAACTTATTTGCACTATTTCGTATGGTAACACATTATGCATTGTACTCCGTCAAGATACCATATTCGTCAGTGTTTCTTTGAATAATTCAGTTTATTCTTTTCTATGCCTCATTGTCCCTGGTAATTGCTATTCATTCCTTACAGCTCAGTACCAAATTCGATGGAATTCTATATTCACGTCCCTCCACCGGTTTACTACTTGGATGCCACGCAGGCGTTTGATGCGCTCACTCCCAAAGAACAACAATATATTTATGCTTGCTATCAGGCCTGCTGGATCGGCGGTCTCATTGATCTCATACAAACATCGCCGGAGTCTGCTGCGATTTTTCTTCTCGTGAATCGCGTATTTAGTGTCCAATCACCCGATGAAATAGCAGAAGTTGCAAAATCCAACGGCTTTTCAGATGATGAAATAGAAGCCATATTCTCCTACTTTGCAACTGTTTGTGGGAACTTGGGAAATTACTTGAGTTTTGGAGACACAAAATTCGTCCCATCTGTGTCGCGTGACCGTTTGGTACAATTCTTATCCTTGACTTCGGCGTTTGCCGACAAAGCTAGTGGTGTCGAGACGCTACTTGAGGAGGTGTCGTCCGCCATGTATTCCTTGGCACCTCGACGTCTCCGGCTGGGATTTGGCCCGACAGACGGAATATCGACTTATTATTCAGGAGACTGCACTCGCACTGAGGCGGAGGCTGCACAAGCGTATTTGAAGGCAAACAAGTTGGAAGCGTATAACACCCGGGTTTTCAAGGACGCCACAAATGATGAGAACTCGCACGTACTTACTATCCGTTTCGCTTCATCTGAAGAGAAAACTATCCTCCCCGATTGCTCCGATCACGTACCTAGTAACTGGAAACTACGTTTACAGTCTGGCGATTTCTCTGAGCTTATGTCGCTGCTTGTCACTGCTTCACGTGAAGCTCAGCTGCATGCACTGAATCCAAACGAAACCGAGATGTGGGGGTTGTACGCTGATAGTTTTTTAACCGGTTGTATTGACAAACACAAAGACGGTTCGCGGGCATGGGTACGGGATAAGAACCCCGTAGTAGAGAATTATATCGGATTCATTGAGACCTACCGCGATCCCCTGGGTGTTCGCGCCGAATTTGAAGGATTTGTTGCCGTGGTGAATAAAATAATGTCTGCGAAATTTCAGCTACTAGTCGAACATGCGGTGGATATATTGAAGTGTCTTCCTTGGCCTGCGTCATATGAACGAGACCGGTTTACTCGACCTGACTTCACCAGTCTTGATGTAGTCTCCTTCGCTTGTTCTGGGATTCCTCTGGGCATAAACATTCCGAATTACGATGAAATTAGAGAGGCAACAGGTTTCAAAAACGTTTCTCTGGGGAACGTTCTCTCTGCCAAATTTAAAGTAATTCTGCTATTGCTGACTCTTTCGTTTTAGGATCAGAAGGCCGAATTTTTGTCAGATACCGATAAGCCTGTTTTCCTAGCCAATGTGGAATCGGCGTTCGAGATTCAGGTTGGACTTCATGAACTTCTCGGTCATGGTTCTGGAAAGCTATTCCGACGTAACGAGGATGGAACTTACAACTTCGACGTGGAAAATACGAAGGATTTTATAACTGGTGGACCAGTTCAGCATTGGTCAGTTACTTGATTTGATTTTGTGATGTTGGGTTATCACGTACTTTCCGATGCAGTCTTGTTGCATTTTTCATTTTAGCTGTCTTTGTTTAGGATGTTTTTTTGGCTGGCATCCTCTCCAAACACCCAGTTATGGGCTTGCGTCTCGTACAATCAGTTTACTTCGGGGTCTGTCATGAGACATTTTATCTGAAAATGTGTATTTTTTCGATTCACAGGATAACTTGTACCTTGTGTCGTTCGACACCCCGAAACGCGCAACTTCCTGGTGTACATGTGACATTGCTTGCATTCTAATGATGGGGGCCTGCAAAATTCACTTCCTCTCTGACACCGTACTCGTAGTTTGTAACATCTAGGATTACTTAATCGTTATCATGAAGCTGAAGCTTCCCTTCTACCATGAAAATGTCTACGGGTCTAATTTATAACCCAGTTGGTCATTTTAATGTGTGCCCCCATAAACTTTTAACCTACCTCGGCCGTCAGGTATTCATTCCATATAAGCCTCTCATTTCTCTCTCACATGGTGGTGGGAAAAGAATTTTCACACAGGTCTTCTCGGATTCCGGATGCCTAGGAGGCCATTGTGCAGTAATGCTTAGCAGTTGGGCTAGTGACCGAAGGGATTACGCATTCACCTTGTATTCCGCATAAGTGTGGGCGGACCCCGTGGTTTACGCAGCCCGCGCGCGACTATTTGTTGTCGCTTGGCAGCAAAGCGTTGGTACGGTTTGCCGACGTACTGTGTATGCTTTTTCTCTACTTTTATGCTTCACATTTACCTGGGGTGACTGCTGCAATCGACTTTGCTCTTAGCACGACCTCAATATCAGGACTAAGTTCAAATGGGACAGTAACAATAGGAGAATCCTGTGTATGTTCCACTTTGAGAGCATCGTTGATACAGGATAGATTTTAGTGACGCTTTATCATTTAGGAGTGTCGAATCGCCACGCGTTCACCACATCACAGTCAACCGATCAGTACTCACTCTCTCGATTACGGGAAGTAGAAATCAAACGGAATGTTTAGGGGCTAAGGGAAATCGGAAAGCAAATAACATACAATATATTCTAAGCATTGGAAATAGAGAAAGATAAAATCAGCATAAGAAGCCGTAATAAAGGCTGAGCGATGATGGGGAAGGTTTGTAACTGCAAACCAAACTCATCCCATCGACGCCCGAACTCCCTTACCGTGAGTGCCAACACAACGTCTTCGAGCAAATCATTCCGAGCGGCAATTTCTCTACGTGATAACCGGCTTTAAACCCAACCTCCCTATCGGTTCGAGACTTGTGCAGCTCCATTGGATGACCGTAGAGAGTTGGCAATCTCGCTGAGTGGATGAATGAGGCAAATCCGGACCAACTTGACCCTTCAAGATGCGGATGGTAAGAATCACGTCCATCCCCGATGCAGTTTGCGGTGTGGTGAAAGGAAAGCCCAACTATGCAGTCTCTCGGGATAGGACGTGCGTCCATAGACCATCTTAGTACCGACGCTCATGACCCGTCCCACTGCTGTCTTGTCCCCGATTAAGCAGGAAGGACAAATTTGAACGCAGTATTCCAGGTGAGGATTGATGAAAACTGATTGCAGTCGAACAAACATTTCACCTGTAAGGATTCCGTATGACCGACCAATCATACACATCATCTTGAATCCATTACAGTTTTCATTTCAATTAAACTTTTACGACAACGAGATCGCCAAGTCTGCTTACTCGATCACATTCGACACATACTTTCTGTCCAAAAAGTAACTCGTAATTGGCCCATCAGTCCCCATGCGCAAAGTCGAACATTTTGAAAGATTTATTGGCAGTTGCCACGGGACGGACCAGTCCCAGAGTCTGTCAACTGCACACTTTGTGTCCTAGGAATCCTCTGGGTCATTGATCGTACCCCCAGAGCCTCATGTCGTCTGCAAACATTAGAGACAGTAAACCTACCTTCTCAGGTAGATTATTTACATATAGGACGGACAACAGTGGACCCAAGACGGACCCCTGTGGTACACCGCTAAGGATAGATGGTCGGAAAGGTAAACTCGAACACATCCCCTTGTCCTCTAATAATGCCATTATCCAACACAGAACACGACCAAAACCCCCATATGACTGCAGTTTCGACATAAAACAGGTGTGTAGGACGGTGTCGAATGCTTTTGCAGAATCCGTGAAAAATACGTCTACTACTTAATCCTACTCTATTGCTTCAGTCCATTATTCTCCAGCACAAAAGTTTGTCAGACAGTAGTGGCCTTCTCGAAGGCTGAGCAAGCTAACTGTCACCAATCGGGTTTCAACGACATCTTACCAATTCCTTCAATAATTTGACTGAAATCTTTGTTAAACTGCATGGTCTAAGTGCTTATCACCCTTCTTGAATTACGGGACCAATAATTGCCTACTTCCATTCAGAAGCTAAGAAGCAACCGAGAAGTGATTTCTCGAGAAGTCCTTTCTTGCAGATCAGTTTCTAGTTCCTAGAGCAACTTAGAGTGAAGCGCATCCACTCCGGCCGCTTTGGCGGAATTTAGCTGCTGTAGAAGCTTATATACCTGGGTCCCTGTAATTAATGAAATCTGTCAGCAGAGAAACTGCGTAAACACTCATTTGTAAACCAATATGCCATAATAGATTCCCTAACGAAATGTCTCACATACTGATCCAGTAGTAGACAAGCTCATGCTTGATCTATGTGGGCAGCAGTGCCGTCCGAACCAATCAACAGTGGTAGAAATGAACTCAAATTGCTTTGCCTCTTAAGCGGAAAATCGCTTTGGGTTGACTGAAGCTGAGTTGTCCAACTCCATTTCATAGTTTAATCTAGCTGCATGTATGTGTTTTTACAGACATTTCGCGAGTCTCGACAGCCTCGAAAATTAGAGAACTGACGGATAAGTCCGCTAGCACTTGGTCCGTCTGTTTGCCAATTCGCACGCAACCGAATCGAACCACGATGGTTACACCTGTTTCACTCTTCCTCTCAGCGATTGGTGTATGATAGTGGGACACCTTGATGAAATATAACCACGTGACCTGGACATCTTCATCCACTGAAATAATACGGGGTGAAGCCTTGATCTAAACTCTGATTGCAGAGAAATGCGCTCCCCATATATACGGACTTTTCAATGCTGGCTTTTGTATCTAACCACCTAGTGCACACCAATTACTAGGCTACCATGTAGTCCAATTCGCTAACTCGCCATTAGCCAACGACGGCGCATGTTACTCGAGAATCGGTCACCATGATGCGTTTAGTTTGACTCAATCCGTGTGTTCATACGCGCTTACTTAGCGCTCATTGCTCTTGCTTTGGTGGGATGCTCATCCTTTGAGATGTTTGCTGGTCCCCGGACACTAGGGATCCACGAAACAGCATTTAAGTACATAAATAATTGGTATATTCCTCTGCGGTACGAGGCACATTCCAGCTATGTGGTCTGATCCATTCGACTCGGTAGCTTAGGGATAGAGGTTCTGACTGATATCCCAAAGGCCCCCGGGTTCGACTGTAGACCAGTTGTCATTACCGGTGAGATAAAACAAGTGTTTTCAGGTGGAAATACATACCATCCATCTCTATCATATTTGTCACACCAATTGGTTAACGCGTTCATACCCCGCCCGCTTTATTGGTGCGTTCCGCAAAAGCTACTCGAGGCCGCTTACCTATTTATTGGCTTTAAATAGAATGGATTAATGGCGCTTAGATAAGTTCTCTTGAGGTACCGAAGACGGTTCCTAAGAGTTCCTGAAGCTCCACCTCATGCCGAACAGCTCCTAGTCAAAGGAATGCAAAGTGAACAAATTCCCTCTGCGATCGGTCATAGTCGCTGATGCTTAGTACACTACAATTGAGAGCCAAATAAATTGTTTTGGACCTCCTAAGGATACTATTCGCACATGGCCGAAAGGATGAGGCGCCTGCCTTGTAATCCGGCGTCCATCGGTTCGAATCCGCATAGGTGCGGGCGGCCTGACGGAACACCTAGCCCACCCGCAGTCGCCTCTTTCTCTCTCTGCGTGTGGCAAACTTCAGGCTGCTCTCGGTGGGACTTTGCAGTCATATCGGCGAGTTACACGTGTAGCTCTCAACTTCTGAACTGATCTGATGCTGCGTGTGGTAAAAATGTTTGGCTTCCGCTGCGCATGACATGAGACTGCTGCTCCTTTTCTATTCTATATATTTTCAGTTACCTTATCGGCAGTAATAGAAGTGAGTTCGTTTGCCTTAGTTTGCCTAGTTTGTGTGACATTTTTGAACTGTGAAAATCCTCCGTTTCACTCAGTCCATTGCGGACAAACGAACCAGCCGAATTCCACTTTTATTTGACCTCTCGGTTCTGTCTAATGCCACCGTGTACCGCCGCCTCGTGTGAAAGGCTTGCCATACCATGGGAAATGCAGATGCTTCTGGGCATCACCTCGGAGCTCACCATGTAGTCAGCCGTAGCTGATACACAGATCCTCTTTTATTGTGTGTGTTTTGATTGGTCATCTATCTCCACGATGCTTTGTAGAGCCTGCACTGATTGATCGTCTGTCTGCTGCTCTGTTTCATGACCTAGCCTTCACTGATGAATACACGATGTTTCGCTTTTCTGTATTTTACATCCTAGGTATGAACCGGGTGAGAACTGGGATAACAAGTTTGCCAGTTTGTCCTCAGCCATGGAAGAGTGTCGTGCCGAATGTGTCGGACTGTATCTGTGTGACTTGCCCATCGTGCTGAAGCTGTTTGGGGTCGGTGATGAATGCCAGACTAACGATCAAGTCTCCGACGTCGTGTATATCAACTGGCTTAGCATGGTCAGACTCGGTATCATGGCTATGGAGTTTTACACCCCACCGAAGAATGAAGGTGATGCTGGGGCGTGGAGACAAGCCCATTGTCATGCTCGGTACACAATACTGCGTGTAAGTGATGTGCTTATCTCTCTGTTTTGACTGCGCCTTGTTTGGAATGTTGTGTGAGGTAGCAGCTGATGAGAGCCTGGGCCTGAGCGTGAAAATATTGGGCCGGCGATTTTCAAAACGGACAATCTTTCTATTTCGGAACGTGTTAGATTCTAAACGACGGACGTAACTAACGGTTAGTTGTTCCAGAAATTACTGGAAAGTGTTTGAGCTACCAGTCATGTCAGCCTGTTCGACAGCTGATAACTTCCAATATGTAACCTCTATCCAATGTCGCCGAACCTGAGCTTATCCGTTTCCGTGACTTCTCTGTCAACTGGAGTCGTAGGGGCGTCTATAGACGGTGTCAGCTTTGGGGTGGTTTGCACCTTTTGCTTGTCCTTCAAGCACGAATTTATGGAGGCCACGTTTTGTTTTCGGCTCTGGTCAAACTTGTTCAACTAACCTGGGAAACAGATGTAGACGAATGCAATGATATTACAGTTAAGTTAGATGTACCAGCGCAATGAATTGATTAGTAGCTTACTGTTTGTGTGTGCACGAGACCGGGAAATCGTTTCTCACCATTGAAGTATGAACAACATGTCTGCTGTGGGTCCTTGTGTTTGGGCGTTGGGCCTGCAGGTTCTGCGTGTCGAACTCGAGTTTCCGCTCCTGCTTCAGTTTGGATATTCCTGCAATATATATATATATATATATATATATATATATATATATATATATCAGTGTGTGTACCGGCCTACGAATAGGCATGGTGCCATCAAAAACCATGGAACCCAAAGTAAGGTACAGTTATCCTTAAAAAACCACAACACGGAGCTGTCCATGGTTTTGTCTGAAGGCGAGGTACTACCTGGTTGCCCAAGCCGAAGTAGGGTGTTGACTTAGGGGACACCATGCCCGGGTCTTTGGCCGAATGGTCTGCCCGCAAGGCATCGGAGCAAATTCAGGGAATCGCGCCCATTGGGTGCCGGTGGCTGATTGTCCACTTCATACGCCTTTCGTTTGTTCCTTTGGCACACACCGGCTCAATGCTCCACACAATTTCAGCATTAAGTTGCTGGAGTACAATGCTTCGCCAGTTTGAAGCGGTGACTTTAGTTAGTGGCAAGTCACATCCGCCAAGTCACAGTATTGTTAAACGGACATGTGTGACTTTTTATAGGGAGATCGCTTGCCAGACGAAAACCCACTATCTTCTGGAACATTGCCGCCAAACGATTTCCTGTAACGCGATAATCCCGAACCACCCAGCTGGCAGCACGAGAAGGTTGTTCGACGAGCCAGCCAAAATCTCGTCCATGGCGAAGTTGAACAAAATTGGAGAGGCTGGGCAATCCTGTCTAACACTGTTTGTGATACTGGAAGTGGACAAAATGTCTCCGTATGCTCGCACGCGGCCCCAACTTTGATGGTACATGGCACGGAGAATGCTGTTTTACTTCTTAGGTACTCCCCACTTTAGTAAGCAGTCCCAAAGAGCCACTCTGTCAACAGAGTCAAAAGCGGCTTGAATGTTCAAGAATATGACTAGTTGGTCGACTGAACGTATGGCGATGTTCAAGTATTTGGCAGATCGTAAAGATGTGATCGACGCAACTGCGACCCGGGCGAAATTCAGCTTGTTGTTCACGCACGTGGTTCCCGTACGCAACTGAGCCACCTCAAGTGTAGGGCAGCGAGCAGTTTGGATGCGACACAAATGAGACTGATGCCATGATGATTGGAGCAAATGGTCCGGTCTCCATTTTTGTAAACAGATACAACATTCGCTACATTTCAGTCAGATGGAATGGTTTCAGTAGTCCAACTCTGATGGATGACAGATGTCAGTTCACGAGTGAGAGCAGGACCCCATATTTTAAGAGGGTCGGAGGAAATTCATCTGGGCCAGGTGACTTGTGGCGCTTCAGTAGGCGAAGCTCATTGGAAACCTCAGCCTCAGTCGGTGGAGAAACTTACACGCATCATGGAGCACTGCGAACCCCAGAAGATGGGCTCGGTTACGCTGGTGGCCAGTTGAACTGACCTTCAAAGTGCTCTGCCCATCGTACCAGACGACGTTGACGACTGTTGGCCTTCTGCCTCCGGAGGAGCGAATAAGTTGGAAGAGTTTGCGATAGTTTCATGATAAGTCTGCCCGCTCCATCTCAACGATGCGCTATGTCCACCAAATCTCGCGGTCCTTCCTGAAGAGTTGTCTGAGCTCAGCACTTGTGGTTCTGCATAGTGCGTTGTACTCAACTCCGGCGGGAATTGTTCGATGACTTTCCATTAATTGTAGAGACTGTGCAGTGATCCAATGACTAACAGCTCGTCTAGTGAAGCCACAGACCAGGGTAGGGGTCTTTCGTTAGGCTCTCTGAATTTGTGCCCAATGTGTCTCAACATCGGGGAATAGAGAACGCAGGTTGGATGCTAATGTGTTCTGAAATGCGCCGAACACAATTGGGGCGGCGAGCTTGTCTTTGTCAATTCGTTCCCGGCAACGTTGTTGGGTGCCTCCAAAGCGCAGAACGAACTTAGCACACACGAGCGCATGACCCGAGGTCAAGTAAGCTTACCAAATTGCCTTGCAGTCCGTTATGCAGCTCGCCAACGGTAACTATCAACAATGTGGTCAATCTGCGTCCAAGCTTGACCAGGCGCCGGAGGTCGCCAGGTGGCTCGTTAGCGCCAGGATCATCGGAAATTGGTGCTGGAAGGGAACAAGCCGTTTTCGGCGCACAGTTGAAGGAGTCGATCGCCGTTGTCCGTCCTACGAGTACCATCTCTGTGTTGACCCCAAGTTCGCGCTCATGAACCTCTAATCTACAGACCTGTGCGTTTAAGTCTCCGGCGTGTATCACGATGTCTGTACGGCGTTTCTTGCAGAGGAGGTCGATGAGTTGGCGGTAGAACTCGTCTTTAGCTTCTTCCGGGCTGCAATCCGTAGGAGCATACGCCGCCACAATAAAGCAGCACCTACTGGTCCCCTGGCTCGAAGATCGCACTGAGCTTTCCAAGCATACTGCACAAAGATGGCTGTTGACCGGGAACCAGTCGATGAGCGCTGCCTGAGCACTCGCGCTTAACGCAACTGCTATGCCGGCGCAACCAGAGGCTGCCGCTGTCGCATCTCCAGATAAGCGCAAGGTGAATGTGCACTTGAAACTTGGGATGGTGAGAGCAATCGAAGCGTTGTGCCATCTTGTAAACGGGTTTCGGTTAGGTAGCCAACCTCGATTGAGTGGGTTTCCAAGGTGCGCGCATGACCAGCTTGTGAAATAACCTGCATGAGAGCGTTCGAGCATTGAACGTACCTAGCTTGAAGAGCGAGCAGGATGCGATGAAAGCTTTGCTGTTTGAATTGCATTGTGTGCGATCGATTTTGAGCGGTTCATTGGTGAAGTCGAAGGTACCGTTTTTATTTGCAATGCACTTTTGGAGACTCAAAACTGAAGGACGGTTGCCAAGACCAGGAGGGTTGAGTAAATGTGGAACGATGGACGTGGTTTGCGGTGCGCTAGAGTGAGGTTTAGCATGCCCAGCCGCCAGCACCCAGGCCAACAAGAAAGTTCAGAGAGCGAGACACGTGAACATAGAGTCATAACTCCATCATTTCGTGTGTTGTGTGGGCATACAGCTTCCTGGTCGCCCAGGCCAAGGAAAGGGGTTGACTTTGGGTGCCCCACCCGGAGCCTTTGGTGATAGCGACCTGATCAACAAGGCAGCGGGGCGAATTCAAGAAATCGCACCCATTGGGAGCCGGTGACCGATTGCTCGGTTTGTACGCCTTTCGTTTGGCTGGCTGCCAAACAGGGGTCCGATACTCCCAGCAACTCAGCGTCAAGCTGAACGATTACAATGCTCCAGCGAGGTGATGCAAGGGGCAGTGACTTTATTTAGTGTCGCAGTGTTGTTAAACGCACATATGGCTTTTTATAGGGAGATCGCTTGCCAGGCGAAAACCCAACATGTCCTGGAATGCTGCCACCAAACGATTTGCTGGAACGGGATAATCCCGAACCACCCAGCTGGCATCACGAGGAGGTAGTTCGGCAAGCCAGCCAGTGTTTTCATTTGCACAAGTCTCCCATCGTGTGTGCAACCGCTTGCGTTTACTCGGCATTAAGTCATCAATGCCAGGTATTGCCGATTCCCTCCCTTACTTTGCTAAGACTGACATCCATAGGCTGGTATTCCTAGATGTTTTGACAGCACCTCTATTATGATTTGATGTTAGGGTGTCTTTTGACTCCGGCAGTCAAAATGTGAATTTCTCGCTCAAGTGTTATTTGCAGTTGGATCATTTAAGCGACTGACACTGCAGTGCTGTTACACCAATTACTCCGAATGACCATATAGAAGTCTATCTTTCGGCCGACATGCACAGATCATGACCCAAATCTTCCGTACACTGCTTCCTCTGCCCTATCTCCTGTTTCCTCCCCCCACCCCAAGCGATCACTGTTTGTTGACCGTAGTACTTCTCCTTTGGTCGTCCCACTTCCATTCTCTCGTTTCCCTCCTTTCAACGCAGAGCTGATTTGTTTCACTTTATTGCTATACCCTACTATCTGTGTCGACTACCTTGGCGGGTCCCTGTATTCAACATAAAAGGTCACCACCGTTTCCTAGCCCCCGTTTACGCGTCAACTAAGTCTGACTGACCGACCGCGTTACTCTCCTGGTCTCTGGGAAATACCGCTGATCCTGATTTCGATTTGGCACCGGTATTTACTTCAGTGAGTCGTACCTGTTCGAGAAACTGAAAACCTACAGCTTTGTATACATAGCCTTTTCAAACCGGAGATAATATATAAACCCGCTCACTAGTTCACGCAACTATGCCTACGTGTATAACAGAGCGTGTGTTCCTGCTTGAGTACGTGGTTGCATTTACCCAGGTGGGTCGCTTCCCAGAGTACGAATCACTTAGGGTTGTCGAACGGGCGATTTTCTGGTAAGAATTAAACAAATAAATGATTTAGTCCCATTTTTCGCGAGACACGCCTGTG